TGTTCTTTCCTGGTCTTCTCCCATCGTATTCAGGGCTGCCCTAGAAAGCGGTGGTGGGGTCCAGGGATGGAGAACCTCCCAGGCTTCTCTTCCAAGCCCTCCCCACAGATCAGGTCACAGGGGAAAATCCTCCCCAGGTGACACCATCCTGCAGGGCTGATGGGAGCTTCCTGCTCGGCCCTAGGCAGAACCCCAGCTCCAGCCCCACACCCCACACCGCCTAGGCCACAGAGGACTCAAGAGGCCAAGAAATGTTTTCTCCCAATAAAGACTCACTGGGTGGAGGGACAGAGATGGCTATGCTGTGGTTGGCACTTGGTCATTTCTAGCACATTTGTGTTGCAGGAGCAGGAGCACAATGACCTGGGGAGCAGGTGAAGCCCTGGTTGGGACTGTGAGCTTGAACCTGCCTTTGGCGAGGCTCTGTCAGATGCACAAGGCTTGTAGCCACAAGCCAGGCTTGCCCCTCCCTCCTCTGGGAAGCCTTCCTGACATAACCATCTCTTCCATGCCTGGGTCAGTGATCCCAGCCAACTTTGGCCTCTGGCTGCAGACTTCAGACAGTGGAAGGCACCCGGCCGTAGCCCATGTGAGCCCCCCACACCTGTGGCCTGGTCACAGCAGGCCCCTAGGAAAGATCTGCTGAGTGCTGCTGTGGGGACAGCCCAGTCTCCCCAACCTACATCTGCTGGCCACAAGGGGCCTCATCTCCTCACACGACATGAGCAGAGAGAGAACAGCAGGTTTTCCTTATTAGAGCATCACCAGGCCCAATAGACCCAGGTTAGGGAAGGCTAGTCAGCCTATGGACAGGCCTACTGCCACGACCTTTCTGGTTCTCTGTAGACACACAGGCCCCAGGGTCTGAGTGGCCCAGCCCTGGGGTGGGATGCTCTGGATGGCCTGGGAGCCAGGCCACTGCCCCCTCCGAGACCGTACCTGCCTCAGAGCCCAGTTCTGAGAAGTCAATGGGGTAATGTTCTAAAACAGTGGCCTTCAAACGAAAGCCCCCAGAATAAATGTTTAAAACTGTGTATCTATTTGTACATTTGCAAGTTAACATCTAAAATTTCTCATCTTAATTTAAATACTTGTAGAGGATGTAATTTCCAACATATTGTAAATATTAACATTTCAAAATAAAACTGTTACTGTTCCACTTTTAAATGGACCCAGTGGAATCTAAATACCATCTCAATTTGAGATCCACCAACATCCATCCAAAAGTTACAGAATCCGGTTCTTCCTAAACACCTGGAAATTTAGAAAAGTTCCTTTTGCCTCCTCAAACTCCAATTTCCAACCCACATCCCTCAGTGTATTTCATGTTAAAAGGCCTTTTACTGATCAGTCTATGACGCTATAAATAAGTAAATATATAAATGTTTTAATTATTTTTATTTCGTGTGACCGTCAAGCTCTGTTGGAAATTTTCTTCTGGACTGAATTATTATTACAATTACTGTTAGTACATAACTGATCCCTGTGACAGAACCATTACAAATTGTACAAGGAATAAACATAAGACATTAAACCTTATTAGAAATACATCTCAGAAGAGACAAATGGGAATTTTTCAAAAGCATTTCATATATCCACAGATGAAGGCAGAGCTTATTGTCAATTGTATTTTTCAATTTTTATAGATGCAAGAGCTGAAACCATTTCTTCAAACAAAAAGATGGAAAGGGATTTACATAGCAAATTCTCTGAATTCCTTTAAAATAGGCCAAAAATTACAGCAGTTGTAATTCTTTTACAAAAACAGTCATTTTTAGTGTCTTATCAGCTGAAAACCCAATCAGATCCTCTTGCAATTTTGTAGCAAGAGAAGAACTGGAGAAACCTTACTTGCCGCAGGATCACAATGACCAGCGGCAAGGCCTAGGCAAGTTTTATGCCCCAGGGTCACATTTGTCTTGGACAATGTAAATAATGAATTTCCCATGTACTAGGCATGGTGCCAACTGCTTTACCCAATTAACTCAATTAGGTCTCATGTGATCCCTAGGAACAGGGATGACTATTATCCCCATTTTACAGACGGGGAGACTGAGGCTCTGGGTGGTTAGGAACTGGCCCCAAGGTCACGCAGCCAGAAAGGTGAGCTCAGGTGATCCTGACCCTCACTGCTACATGCACTGCCTCCGTAGAGATGGGATGGGGGCGAACATGGAAAGGATGCCAGGAAGGAGGGTTTATAAGCTCCCTCCCAAGCAGATGTGCTGTGGCAATGAGCACATGAAGGAGCCGAGGACCTGTAAGATTTGCTTTCTTAAATATGTTCCCACCCTACCTTGGAGAGGTTACCCACAGATGCTTTCTTTCAGGTAAACGGCATCAGTGCCCAGTACACCACAGCCCTTAATAAATGTTAACACTCCTGTTGTCACTACTGCCATTAAATAGCAGGAAGAAAAATAACCCCCCTGATGGAAGACATCGCAGGATCTCACCAGCACTTCACAGTCTTGGTTCCTGACCCTGGGCCCTGGTTTCTTTTGTTTTAAATCATAGCCAGAACCAGGGTCACCTGGGTGGCTTACTGGGTTGGCTGAATGTCCCACTCCTGGTTTCAGCTCAGGTCAGGATCTCCCGGTCCTGAGATTGAGCCCCACCAAGGACTCTGCTTGAAGACCCCTCCTCTCACTCACTCTCATGAGTATGAGCGCTCTCTCTCTCTCTCTCTCTCTCTCTCTAAGATAAATACATAAATTAAAAAAAAATGTAGCTAAAGCCCAGGTGATCACAGCCCTGGAAACATTTAGTAAATGGAGCAGTCCACTAACATGCAGAGGAGCCCCAGTTAGCAGAAAAACCATGGACTCTTGAGACTAACCAACCCACCATCAAACCCCGAGTCTACCACTTACCAGCCGAGTTCCCCAAGGAACATCCTAAACCTCCATTCCTCATCTCTAAAATAGGCATGAAAACACTACTCCCATCACTAGGTGGCTGCACAAAGAGGGACAATGCCACTGGGGCCATGGACACAAGAAATGCCGGGTGTGGGCCGCCAGCATGCTTACTCTCCTCCCTCCAGTCACTGCACCTCGTGTCTGGCAAGCAGCCACCCCTGCATCCAGCGGCCCACCCGCTCAGAGATCTGGCCCACAAAAGCCTGGTTGATTCTGAAAAACCAGCCAAGTGTCTTGGCTTCCAATTTTTGCAAAGACTCTTTCTCTGCATCTTGATATTTCAAATTCTCCAAACACTCCAGGGTGCCAGGAGGAGGTGCACAGAGAGGCGTCACGGTGAGTTTTATTTTTAGATACTGGTGTGGAAAGCGCTCAGTTTGGTTTTTCTCTGGTCTCCAACCACCACTTCCTCCCCAAAGTCATCACCAAAGTGAACAGCAGACACATTAAGGAAATTTCTGCAACTCTTCCTCTGCCCCTCACATTCTAGAACAATGGCTCCAAGTCTCCCATTCCACCTCAGACTAAGGGGATCAAAGGTTCAAGTCTAATCTTCCCAGGAAGCCACGTAAAGCAAACACACTGCCTCCCCCAGGCTAGCCTACACCCCAGGCTGGCTGTACAACCTGAAGGTCCGTGGCCCTCTCCTCGCCCTGCCCCTCCCTCCTGGGGCAGGGGTAGGGGCATCATACTGTGTTAGTCTGGGGTCTTCTAGGACAGGAATCAGGTACCGGGGGAAGGGCACATTTCTTCCCTTTTTAAGTTAACATGTTTGCTGGTGAGCACACGAATTCACTTCCTCTACAAACTGTTCCCCACAGAAATTTCTTCGTAAGCCCTGACAAGCGCTGTAGCTTAAAGCACTTGGCCACTCTTACAGTAACCTCCAACTCATGCTCCAACTGTGAGGCCAGGTCAGGGGTTGGGGGGGGGGGTTGTACAGCAGCAACCACAAAGGATCCGAGACACTAAGCCCCAGCATGACAAGTGTACAACTGCCACTCACCTGCCTACTGCTGGACCTGAGACGCACCATCACTCAACTCCTGCCCTCAGCCACCCACAGATTCAGAATCCTCCAGGCAGTCACTACCAATCAACCAAAATGGCCCCGATAGCACACTTCTTAGCCATTCCTGAATTCTGACTTCCTCCTTTTAACGTCTAACAAACTAAGGTCCACAGAAAGACTCTGTGCAGATCACACAACTTTATAGAATCAAAATGAGCCTGAATGAAAAATCCACAGCCGAGGAGGGGCTTTCAGAAACTACCTCCTCCCCTCAAACAAACCTCAGCCTCCAGGTCACAAGTTCAATCTGCTACCAGAGAAAGACCAGAAGCATTAATTCAGCAACAGACACCAAGTCCCACCCAACCAACCACCCCCAGGGCTGCTGTCAGGATGTGCACATCTCTTTCAGGGCCACAGAGCCCACCCCAGGCCCCAGGAGGGCCTCTCTCTCCATCCATCCTTCCTTCTCCAGCCAATGAGCACCTGACCCAAGTCTGCCCCAGGGTGAGGAAGCACAGGGGTCAGGACCCCCCCGCCCCATGTGCACTGACTCAGCCTACCCTCCAGGAGCCAGGGGCCCATAGGGAAAATCAGGTGTGGTCAACTGACAACAGGGAGAGGATGCACATGCACGTGACCTAGGGGTGAGGGGGAGAAGGGAAGGAGAGATGATGCCGCTCACGAGAATAGTCTGATAGGAGAGAGCTCAACCCCAGAGACTGGAGCAGCCAAGGCTTGTGCTCCCTCAGCAGAGACGGAGGGTAGGGGCAAATACACCATGGAGGCAACAGACCACAGATGCCTGGCTGGGTGGCTATGCTCCCGCACCTGCCCCCTGCCCCCAGCTCCTTCCACAGATGAAGCCACCCTAGCTCCATAAACCCCAGAGACCACCAACCACAAGTCCTGCCAGAGCAGAAACCACGGAGACTCCACACGAGGAGAAGTTAAACATGAGAAGCAGGTGAAGGTGCTCAAGCGCCCAGACTCGAGGGAGAAGAGGAAAGGGGAGCCCTAAAAGGCCCACCCATTTGAAAACTGGTGAGGGTGTCATTCGTACTCACCTGCACCACTTCTATCCCTCGCTTCCTGTAGAGAGAAAAAGAAAATAAAGGTTAATCAGGCAGCCAGGAAGCATCCTCGCTACAGAACACTCACTACAGCCTCCTGAAGGCAGGAGGTGGGGAGAGCCTGCGACTGCTGTCAGGCATGCTCCCCAGAACAGCCCCGTTAGCAAAGGGAAGGTGTGTGAACTCCTAGCCAGTCCTCAAGGCCACCTTCTGAAGAGAGACCAGCCGTCTCCCTCTCCAACCTCAGAACCAGCCCTTCGTGGGCACAGCTCCAGCCTGGATCACCCTGGCATGCTCCCCTCCACCATATTTACCACCCAAGGCCTGACCTTTCCTCTTTGACTCAACCACCTCCATGGCTCCCCATTTCCTCCCATATCTGGCCTAACACCTTTGCCTAGCCTCCCAGGTCTGTCTCAGCCCATCCACTCTCCCATCTTGGCCATCTCTAGCCCCCATGGACACCTCATGGACATCCTCTGATGGTAACTCAAACATCACAGGCCTCTCCAATATTCCTGCAAGCCTGGACCCTGCCCCTTGCATCTCGCACCCACAACCCCACGGCTACTGTTCTCCCACACACATGCCCTGACTCACCTCACCCCACTACAGACAGGGTCAGGGTCTCTGAGGGTCACCCACCTTTGTCTACCCTACCCCCAGCATCTGTGCACATGGGGCTGTGCCACTTCTCCAAACCTTGGTCCACACTTTCCATCCCAGCCTTTAGGATGCAGCTCAGCTCTCCCAGGAAGCCTTCCCCCTGACCCAGGATGCCCTCGCCCCACCCACCTACCCAGAGCCAGAACACTCCCGAGAACCTGGGCCCCCACCATCCCAGGCCTTCATTCCACAGTCTTGGAGCAGGACACTGGGAAAGGCACAGGGGTGTATGTGGAGTGCAGGTGGCACACCAATGGCCATGCCCATGTGTGTCTTCCTGGGAAGAAAGGCTGGGCACCCACAGATGCTCAGAGGAGACTGTGACCAGGAGGAGCTGGAAATTAGAGCAGAGACTACGGCAGATGGAACGGCTGTGTGTACCATGTGCCTACTTCTGGAGCCTGCCTGGCACACAGACACTCCCTTAAGGTAAATATAGAAACACTGAGTTCAGCCTGGCCCAGCACACCCAACAGCCATGGCTCAGGCCCTGGAGGGGCTTAGGGTCTGGGGGGGAGATGGGCACAAAGCCACCTGGGAAACCTCTAGGCAGCGATGAAGATCCACCATCACCATCCCCTTACACGACACAGCAGGGGTGACACCTACCAACTATACACTGGTTGGTTAGCCCATTCAGGTGTTTCCCAACACCTTCTAAGAGCCGGGCACCCGGTGGAACCTCAAAAGTAAGCTACTAGATGAGACAGGAAGACAGAGGTCAAGGAGGGCCCACCAATTTGCACTGTGGGGTATGCTGAGCCAGCCTGCCACTCAACCCCCAACACCTTGACACAACCCCGGGCCCCAAGGAACCCAATCTGAAAACCACAGCGATCCCCACCATCACTCAGCTTCTCTACAGTTCCAGAACAAATGCAGCCAATATCCGTTTGCTTCTGTGACCTCATGAGGGAAGAGACTGGGCACCCCTAGCAGGGACACCTCAGAGCCGCGGCCTTCCCAGACTGCCCTGCTCCACGTGAGCATCGCTGACAGTAACTGGCCCATGGCCACTTGACTCGTGACTGAGACCAGCCAGGTCAGGGTGAGAGTGACTCCCCCCTGTGCCCGGCCCCTGCTCCGGGACAGAAATCCTGAACAGCTCAGGGAGCAGTGCTCCGCCCCCCCCCCCCCGGCCCCCGGGAAGCCCCAGAGGACAAGACTTGGGGCCGCACCACGGGAAGGACAGGTGGCAACAAAGCAGACAGAGGGTGCCTGGGGATGAGACCCCCACCAGGCGGAAAGGGCCTCTGCTGGGCCGAGGCCAGGCCCTGGGTTTTCCCATTGAGATAATCCTCATAGCACCCCGACCATCCCAGCGTGTGGCGCTCACCTCCCGAAGCCTGCCAACAATCCGCCTGCATCTGACACCACCGGTCAGCTTGCCCTCCCCCTGCCTTAAAATACAAACAGGACTCTAACTGGGAAAACCCAAGAGACCCGGAACATTAAAAAAAAAAAAAAAAATCATCTCGAGAACAGGCAGGCTGAAAATCTTAAGTGGGAATGAGCTCCCAGAAGCCAGACCGGTTCCTCTGCAGCTCAGAGCTCCGAGAATGGGATAAATCCTGACTCTGGCAGAAAGGACAGGGGCTCCCCTTCCAGCCGGCACTGGGCCACACAGCGGACACCCCCACAGCCAGGGCAGCCAAGGTGCACTGGTTGCTCTCTGCCCCCAACAGGAAGGGCCAGTAACGGGTCATCCTCAGAGGCTGGGCAAGCTCAGGAAGTGTGGGTGCTGGCTCGGCTCAGCAGCTGGGCTGCCCCATGCCCAGGGGTTAACCAGCAGACCCAGCAGGGGAGGCATGGCGGGGGGGGGGCAGGCAGATGCCCCATGGTGGAGAAACCCCACGCACACCCCTGCAACCCACTCAGCAAAGCAGAACGTAAGTGCCAGGGATCACTCCTTCCTCGGAAATTCCTGTGGGACCAATGTACCAACAGCTCTCACTTCCCAAGCAGCAGGTTCCTAAAATTCCCAAAGTCCAGAAACTGGTTCGTGACACCAAAGGGGAGGGAGGAGAGGATAAGCCAGAGGACTCGCCGTCAAGTGATTAACTATTCCTCCTGAAAACCCCACGCCACCGTCCCACCCCACAGGCGCCCTTGCACGTGTGGTGTTTCAGGCTGTGAACTGCCACACTGTCTCACCCCACGAACAACCCACACATGGTCAGAGAAATACTAGGCCGTAAGTAAAAAGACCCAAGAAGCCCTCTCCCTGTGCCCTGAAGGCTTTATCACCGAGACAACCCCTACACGTGAAAACGCAAGGTGCAAAGCTGTGTGCTGCCTGCACCGGCCTGGGTTAAAAACAACATCCAGCACGAGAACGTGCCTGCACACACACAGAACGAACCGGAAAGTGCTGCAACAAAGAATGAAAGAAAATGGTGGTCGGGTGGCCTCTGGTCAAGGGCAAGGGCAGCTGGAGGGTGGGGTGAGCAGACTTCTTGCTTGCTGTGCACCCTCATGCCTGACTGCTGCACCCTGTGCACCCAACATGAGCTCCAAACTAGGAGTGTGCTTTCTGAAGGATCTTTTAAATAACAGGTAACACTGAGGCTGCCAGCATTCCCAGTGCTCAGCATAAGGTAAACGCCTGAAAATGTCATGAATCAATCAGTCAGTCAGTCAGTAACATGAACAGAGGAGTTCAGGATTCATCAGGAAAGTTCTGCTCAAAGAGGAGGTGAAACAATGCGCACTCTGGGGCCAGTGGACTGCCCGAGAGGGAGCATTCGAGTCCCAATTTGAAACACACTTAGATACCCAAGGATCTCCAAACAGATCGGGAGGGAATGCACCCCACTGTCAACTGTGGCTGCGCAGGAAACACAGGGGTGACTTCTGTCCTTCATGTTTCCTGGTATTTTCTAGTTTTCTACGATAAGCATAGGTATTAGTCTCAAAACGACAGGAAAAAGTAACAATAAAAGTTAAATAAAGAAGTTTATTTAAAACCTGGACCTGGAGAAAACTTGCACAGGCTCTAAAGTTGTTGCTTTTTCGATAAATATCGATTAATAAATTCTTTTTAAGATTTTATTTATTTATTCATGAGAGACACAGAGAAAAAGAGACAGAGACACAGGCAGAGGGAGAAGCAGGCTCCATGCAGGGAGTCCAATGTGGGACTTGATCCCAGGACTCCAGGATCACGCCCTGGGCTGAAGGCAGGTGCTAAACCACTGAGCCACCTGGGGATCCCCAGATTAATAAGTTCTGGACACAGAGCTACCCCCATGGCTGATAAATATATACCTGTTTTTCCAAAAGCTGGGTAGCTGTGAAGGGAAGATCTATTTTATAAAAGGACCCCTCCTCGCCAGAAGTCCAAGGAGAGCTCAGCCTTGAGGAATTTAAAATGCTCATTTACAAGGCAAGCTATCCTTTCAGGGCAGGGGGAGAGCAATCAGAGAAGGCTTCAGGGAGGAGGTGGCATCAGCCATTTCCATGAAGGGAAACTCCAGACTCTCCGGAGGAGAGGTGAAAGAGGAACCACATGAGGAGTGCCCCTTCCCAAAAGGCACTGAAAGGAGTGGGAAAGGGTAATGAGAAGTGGAGAGAAGAAGAGGGAAGCCCCAGAGGCCCCAGAATGTCACAGCGTGGCCTGGCCTTTACCCTGTGGGCCAGTGGATGGATGACTAAGAATCACCACCAGAGCTTGCCAAAAATACCCATTCAAGGTCTGGTCCTGAAGACTCTGATTCAGGAGGCCTGGGTCAGAGCCTGGGGGATTCAGGCTCTGACGAGCCCCCAGCTGCTGCTCAGGAGCAGCCAGGGGTGGGAAGAAGGAGCAGCAAGACCACATGGGGGCTGCAGGGGGTCATGCAGGGGCAGCCCTCCCAGGTCTTGGGGACTGGAGTAAACATGGGAGAACCAGAGCAACTGCGATGCTCACAGTGTGGGTGCAGCAGGCCGAGGCCCCAGCCAGCACCGCCAGGGGACGGATTGCACACTGCACCAAGAGGGTGAACTCTTCCATCTTCTGGACTGGGACTGTCCCAGGAGGGGGTCAGAACCCCAGGACGGGGCCCAGCAGACAGCTCAGGGCTAGGAAAATGCAATCGGGGAAACAGGTGAAAGTGTAAAAGGCGGGTATGTTCCTAAGACGAGACCACGGAACCAGACCCCACTCTACCTTGTACCTTGGTCTTGTGCCTCGGTCTCCCCATCTCTCTCTCTTTTTTTTTAATAGATTTTATTTATTTATTTATGAGAGACAGAGAAAGAGAGAAAGAGAGAGGCAGAGACACAGACAGAGGGAGAAACAGGCTCCATGCAGGGAGCCCGATGTGGGACTCAATCCCGGGTCTCCAGGATCACACCCTGGGCTGAAGGCGGCAC